TTTAGACAGAGAACATGATTCGCAGTGAAGTTTGAAATCGGATAATCCGTACATCCTCTTCAGGGAGTCGTTGCTTGGATGCCCCGCCCGCCTGTGTAAGAGTTCAATGTCAGACGTTGTCCTTGACGAGATTTTTGCCGAAGGAGATGACTTGCCTTTAACGATCTCGATATCAATCGTAAAGACATCTTGATCATTGAGGTTGACGTTGAACAAAGTGACACCTTCATTGACGATCTTCGCGGATAATGGACCAGTCCTAACTCTATCGCAACCACGACGGAACAGACGACCTTCGGAAATGAGATTGCCCACTAGCTGCGGAACATGCAAGCACTCGAGTTTCAGAGATTGACCAGTGGCGGTCTTGACGTAGACATTCCCAATGCCAGGACAGATTGTTGTCTTCCCATCTGCGAGTTCTATCTTGCACTTTGAATCGGTCGAGTAGGTTGAAAAGGCAGATCGATCGGAGATCATGTGGTGAGAAGCACCACTATCAAGATAGGCGGTGTTTGGAGCGAGTTTAACTGAAAAAGCCTTTTTGATTGTATGCCATGCAACGCTCGATGTCGATGAGTCGTCGTCGACCTTTTCAGTTTTCTCCGCTTTCTTCGCCTTAGCCTGAGTCTTCGCCCTCTTCTTTTCCATTTTCGCCCGTTGTTCAGGGTAGAGCTGGAAACACTTCCATTCAGGGTGATGCGCCTCGGGGTTGTGAGTTCCATCGGTACATTGAGGATCCGATGAGTTTGAGGATTTTGAAACCGCTTTCATTGCTGATTCTTCAGATTTGACTTTAACTGTCGAATCGTCAAGCCTCCTATTGTCCAGAAGATGTTGAAGTTTTTCTACCGTAAGAGGACGACCTTGAATGAGAACTTCGCGAGTGTGAATTAGTCCAGACGGAATTTTCTCTAGAACGTTCTCGCAAAAAAGATTTTCATGAAGTTCAAAGTCTTTAGGAATACCGATCCTGAGGCCAACGGCGTTGAGACGACTAATGTGAGTCGTAAGATCGATGATGAATGATTCGATGTCATTTCCTTTGAATCGGAAAGCCAAGAAGTCATTATAGACTTTGGCTTGGTTCGAGATAGCCGAAGATTGATAATGACCTTCAAGTTTCAGCCACATCGCTCGTGGATCGTCTTTGGTGTCTTTAGTCTTGAACTTTTGGTAGTTGGTAATGCCCATGTATTGCTGTAGCACGCCGGAAGCTTTCATTTTTCGAGTTTTGAAAGATTTTAGCTCGGTTGGGTCAGTCGGCGCAGCTTCTTCACTCGAAATGAATGAGTAGAGATCATGTTGCTTCGTGTAACCCTCGATCAGCATACTCCACAAGTCCCAATTAAGATTGGTTAGGACTGGGATAGCAGGATTCGTGGATTTGTCGTTCATTGTTGGTCGGCTTGTAGGTATCGGTTATATTGAGTAGTGCAGTTAATGCGCCTCTGGGCTCATAACCTAAAGAACCTAAAACTGATGGTTTCCAAACCAGGGCGTTAGGGCACGACCTTCGTGAACTAACAGCGAGAGCAAGACTAGAAGCAAACCTGATGGTTTCCAAACCAGGGCGTTAGGGCACGACCTTCGTGAACTAACAGCGAGAGCAAGACTAGAAGCGAACCTGAGTGCGAGCGAGATGAAACAGAAGGTTGAGGCGAGTAAGACACAGGAAACGAAATGAACTGGAGAAATCGAATCTTTATTTCTAACCTGATGGTTTCCAAACCAGGGCGTTAGGGCACGACCTTCGTGAACTAACAGCGAGAGCAAGACTAGAAGCGAACCTGGTACAAAAATGACAATGAGAAACAACCAGGACTGAGAAAGAAATGAAGAGAGAAAAAGAGACAGAAACAGACCTGAGTGCGAGCGAGATGAAACAGAAGGTTGAGGCGAGTAAGACACAGGAAACGAAATGAACTGGAGAAATCGAATGAGAAAAGAAAACAACAGTGAGGAACGGAAACTCCTTTAATACATTCGGTGCACTCCAGATTAGGTTTCGAACCTTGTCCATCTCACACTTCCATCTCCCCTGCTGCGCCGCATCGGTGTGAGAATGAATCCCCGAACTGGAAGTTCAACAGCTTGCTCCTCTATAGTATCGTCCTGATCACAAGTTGACTTTGGGACTTTGTTAGAGCATCGAGCGCTCCTCTGGTACATTCACCTACAACTTGGACGTGTTTTGTCAAAAAGCGACCACCCTTTGGATCTTCTCTTCTTTACCCTTACCTCCCAAACAAAAGACTATCTTTACATACTCACTGTCGCTTGACTATATTATTATGAATCCTCTTGGCCCGGTTCTGGGATCTCGGAAAATATTATTATCGTTGAATTGCTCTAACTATGTTGGCTCTAAGTTTCCGTTCACTTGTTTCTTAAACTACCCCCCTCATTGCCCTGTACTCGAGCGTTTCGCCCCTGAGTAGGGAAATCACCATCACACTGTGGGGAACCCAGGAAGACTTTGACTTCTCACTCCACTTGTAAAAATCGGTCATCTTTTCTGAGCTTCATTCCAAAAACAAAAATAACCACAAATGGTAAAGGAAGGATGATAGCACCTCACAACTTCAAGCCAGAAAAGTGAGGGCATGAGGTGTCATTATTGTCAGGGATAATGGGTCAAAAAACAAGGCTGTTCTGGGTGAGAATTGGAGAGTAATTTAAAGACCGCATTGTATACAGGATCAAAGTTGCCATCGATCGGCTCGCTCGCACCAAATCACATTCCTTCACAGCCCCTGTGCTCCTTTGCTCGTTATCGACTCCAGCTTCATTGGTGTGGCAGCAGTAAACATAAAGGCCAGTACCGTAGGGCACAAACATTCAATTTTTCAAAATTTGTCTCAAAATCCCATTTCATCAAAATTGACCATCACGGTACTGGCACTTAAATCGTGGCTTACAGAAATGAAGAATACTTCTAATGAAATAAATATCTGCATGTGTTTATCAGATGAGGCTTTCAGGGCGACACACGACTTGATTTCTCCTCTGTATCGGTGACTACATAGTATCTACCGTTGAGGCAGGATAATTGGTTTAAACCGCTCAGATGATTGATTATCGAGCTGCTGAAGAGGATAAAAGCCAGCTCGCTCTATTCCTCTGCAGTCCTCATCCCGCCATTCTCGCCCTACAATCAACCGCATCTCGTCCCCACTTGAGTATCGTCAAAATATTACACGGGCTTGCCAAACAATAAAAAACATGCAAATCTTTCTGTTCTTACTTGGACTTCTCTTGTCGCGGGAAGCTATAGCCGCTCCGGCGGCCCCGGTAAAAGCTTTGGTATCTCGTCAAGAGGCCGGCGATATCATTACTCCGCCTGGCTCAAGCTGCAGACCTCCCGTCTGCGGTTAGGACCCCATGGCCACGTAGGTACTAGGTATGTGTCCGCGATGACTTCTTCCTCTACAGTATTGCCCTGATCAGAAGTTGACTTTGTGTGATAATGTCTTAGAGCATCGAGCGCTCCTCTGGTATATTCACCTACAACTTGGACGTGTTTCGTCGAAAAGCGACCACCCTTTGGATCTTCTCTTCTTTAACCTGACCTCCCACACACAAGACTATCTTTACATACTCACTGTCGCTTCACTATATTATTATGAACTCTTGGCCCAATTCTGGGATCTCGGAAAATATTATTATCGTTGAATTGCTCTAACTATGTTGGCTCTAATTTTGTTTTCTCTTGTTCCTTATAAACTACTCCCCTTCATTGCCCTGTAATCGAGCGTTTCGCCGCTGAGTAGGGAAATCACCATCACACTGTGGGGAACAGGAAGACTTTGACTTCTCAATCCACTTGCAAGAATCTCTTATCTTTTCTGAGCTTCATTCCAAAAACAAAAATAACCAGAAATGGTAAAGGAAGGATCATAGCATCTCTCAACTTCAAGCCAGGCAAAGTGAGGGCATGAGGTGTCATTATTGTAAGGGATGATAGGTGAAAAAAACAAGGTCATTCTGGGTGATGATTGAAGAATTACTTAATGAGCAGGGACACCTATAAGATGGAAGACCACATTATATACAAGATGAGGGATTTCAGGTTGAGGAAGACACAAAAAATTATAAAATTCATGGCAATTCATCCTATACTCCTCCCATATCTTTTTTGATTGAATGTGAGACACCCCAATATCTGGGAAACACACTTTTCTTCACTGCATGTTGACAATTTGAACACACCTACCAGCTTTTGTGCTTGCCGAAAGCTTGTGAAACATTTAGATTTTAGCTTTTATCCAGGTATCATTCAAGTGCAACTTTCTTATGTGAGAGTGAATGTAGGTAGAAAGTGCCATCAGATTTTGATTTCTTTCAAACTTGTTTTCAGCCTGAAGGAGCTCAACTTCTCAAGTTTAATCTGGTGATTACTCGGGAGAGAAACAACTGGAGCTTATTCATCTTTTTAATGGGGGACAAGCAGAGCTTGACAGCGGGAGTTATACAGTTACACATACCTCAGTCAGCATATTGTTAAGCTTTCCAGTGAAAAATAGTGTGATAGTGATAGTTTCCCCAAACTCAAGAGAGCAAGAGCTGTAAATTCTGCAGACTTTCACTGATAAGGTCAAGAGGGCCTGATAAGTCACACCGCCATGGGCAAAAGTAAAGGAACTGACAATTCAGAGCTCGAGAGAGAAATTTGCATAAGAGCTCAGGAGCAAATGATGATCGTAGTTTTAATAGACAAGGCTCAAATATGACAATAGGTGACTTATGTTGCGGTCCTGTCACTACATGACGAATGTGGATTGAAGAAACTTTGAAACTCTAACATAAAAGAATCATAAAAATCAAACATATGCAACATGCACAAAGTAATAAAAAATGGTCTCAGAAAGATACACAGGATGTATTCACTAGAAGGCAGGGATGATAAGGATCTGTCCCACACGGCCCTCATCACACAAAAAATGTGACTGGGACTGGCACGCAAATTCTTACATTCCTACACCGATTGCTGCGTGGTTTCAAGAGAGAGATGCTGCGAAACAGGCTACCGCTTTATAAATGTAGTCGAGTTGACCTGCGGTTTGGACCATAAGAACCTGGGAAGAAAAAAGAGAAGAGCCAGAGGTCAGTGCGCATTGAGGAGCAAATGAAAGATCTAAAACTCCAGAAAAATCACGAGGGGGAGGAGAATTGTTGGAGTGAGCAAGCAAAACATGTGCTGACTCTTTGTTCTCGAAGGAAATCGACAGTACGTGCGACCAGATCGTCATTAAGCCACTCAGGCAACTGGGCTATTCTGCCGTTTTCAGGGACTAATCGGGGCAGGATGAGATGGGAAATGATATTGGCCTTCAGGGTGCGTTCGGAAAGATGGCAGCTGTTGAGGAGGGCGAGCTGGGCGGTACAGCTAGCGATGGCAATCAAGGTGCCGGTGCGACCGACCCCGGCTGAACAATGGACGAGAATTGGAGACGTCCTTGGGGTCGATTCTTCGGGGCTGCTGATCATCGAGTCGGCCTTCGCGGAGCTGATGAGCTCGAGGATCGGTTCGACAAATTCTGGCGTACCATGATCATACCAGCTGATGCACTCGTAATGGACCACTCTTGCTTGTGCGATCGGTTGTATCTTTTGCTGATATTCATCTTGATAAGGTAACAACTCCACAAGCAGCTTGTTCTTGTGATAGAAGCTGTTCGTAGCGGGAGGCTGAACCGGGCCAGATTCGACTCCTTCCAAGGTAACCCGGATAAAGCCAAGGTTGCGCATCTCGTCCGGCTCAGGTAGCGCCCACTTCGTCTTCGGATGCGAGGAGGATGAGTCGAGAGGGACTGTACGATGAGGGCGAAACAATTTAGCCTCTTCCTCCTTGCTTGGGATATAATTGGCACATTTCACACGAGAGCCCTCCATACAGGCTGTCAGCTGGATGATCACCTTGGGCCGTCGAGCGGGATCGGGATGAAAAAAAAGCCTGAAGAATTCGTATCCCGTCTCATCCAGAGGCCCCTTCGGAAATAAAGATGATTGAATTAGCTTACGGATTTGAGCCGAGATTGGACGACTTTGTTTGGTTTTTGGCTCACTTGAGAGGCTATCCAAGTCTGAGCATGTTGAGGTTGAGGATGGTGCGAGGGAGGCAGAAGATCGGCTGGGATTTCGAATGCAGGTTCAGTGATCCAACTGGCGTTGATGTAATCGTTCCCCTGGATTGGGTTCGCGAGGTGGACCCTATTGATGTCGAAGGGAAGAACGTCGCCGTCTGCAGATATTCGGATGTGTTTTGACACATTGAAACCAGCACCAAGCAGAGAAAACGAGGATCACAGAAGAGAGCCGGATATTAGCACGTGCATTCCGTATGTGTGCAGCAACATCAACCCATAGAACGGGGCCCCAACGAAGACTCACACCTGTATGTACCGAGTCCCGACAAATGAACAAAGCCAGAAGAAAGACAGGTCAAGACAAACTGATCGGGCTGGTTGATTTATGTCCTGAGCAGGTGAAAGACTCACCGGTTCTTGGGCTTGTTAATAGGCTGACCAGCGACATGATGAGCATAGGCACTTCCATCTTCGTTACTCTTCTTCTCCCGTCTCGTACCTCGTTCGGCGATTATCTTATAAACCTTGCCGAGTCTCTCGGGACTATTGGTCAGGATGGGACACCATTTCATCCTTGCTTCTGTCTGGCTACCTGCAAGGATTGCCAAAACATTTTTACACATATGTACTTTAGTCTTCTCAACCGGGCCCGACCCGCGACGTCCAGCTCCGGCCCACCCCCCATCCAGTTGGCCCTTCGTTCGACTCTCAAAAAAAAGAAAAACAGCTCACATACCACAATCACTGCCCAAATGCCCACCAGTAAACATGTGTTTGATTCTTCTTGCTGTGCCCGTGAGTTCAGCTGGCAATCGCCGTTTCGCGGGGGACTCTGTCTGTGAATCTGCGGAGGCGTACATCTTCAATCGAATGCCTTTATGAATCGGAAGGTTTCCAGGAGAGAAACAGACTGACCACTTTGGCAACCTGGAGAGCCGGTTTGTTGATTCTCGACAATTGCCTTGTCGATGGAGACCGTTGGTCCATCACTTGGCAAGGTTTCTTCCTTTGGAGAGCCTCTCATGACTTTGGACATATTTGTTTGGCGGAGATAGGAGGAGATGCGTATTCAAGCGACCATCAGTCAGCGGGTGAAATTTGCAGCATGGTTTACCAAGCGGCCCTCAAGAGAAAGGCAAATGCCCACCTCGCAGTGGAGTATCAGTTCTTCCTGCTCCATTCGCTTCAATCTCTGCAACGGGAATATCCATAGGATTACAACCAGCTAGACTTGCGATGAGCCACAGACTGAGAAGGTATTGGAGACGCAGCATAATTGAATCAATGTAGGAACTTGAAAAGTTTATGGAGATGGATACGGAGGCAACTAGTGCATCACTGATCATCATATTAAGGGCTCTTTTGCTTCACTTGCCACGCAGTTCCTCCACAAGGCGGTCGCTGACCCGCCGCGATAAAACTCACATCACCGCAGAACTACGGCAAGACTAAGACCAAAAAACAGGTCCTCCTACTTGACCCCAGGCTCATACCACCGGGGTTGTAGGATAGTCTCCTCAGGTGAGGTTAAAGAATGTTTGATGTGGAGCTCAAGTAAGGGCACAAGCAACCACTTGTATGAATGCCTCAAGACCCACCTCTACTTTTTCCTCCTTCCTCTCAAACCTCATTGTACTGCCGATCAAGAAAAGAAATGACCAAAATTTCTAAAGATTGGCCCAAAAAATTTGCTTATTTCAGTCTGGTCACCATACTCTTGCAGAAAATCTAAAACCAAGAGGGTCTTATTCAACTATCTATGGAAATTTTATTTTCCATGTAAAAATGAATCCAAAAAAAATGGAAAAAAATATTGAAATTTTATCATCATCTAGATGTCACATATTACATTTACTTCAACCTTTTTGTTGAAATTTGAATGTCCTTTTTTACTCATTCCAAAAATCACACTTATTTTTATTTCTCCTCTCATGTTTTCATTCATCAATATAGCCTGTTTTTCATCTAAATTATGCATGTCTGATCAACATCCTTGTAGTCAAAGAACCCTGGTTAGGGATGAGTATCATCAAATTTGAAGGGTATGTGTTGAAGAAGAGATGATTCCAGCACAGAAGAATTGAAAAACAAGAACATCTTCCAAAGGCAAAACAGAGAAATATGCTGGGCAGCGATTGTACTGAAATTTTGCTCAGAAGAGATTATATTATTATATATTATTTGTGTTCAGGGTATTCAGAGTTGGACCATAAATGTGTAAACATAAATTCATAAATAGTTTTTTGTTCATAAATTCATAGAAATAGATTATCCAAGCAGTTATGTGAAAAAAATAATTTAAGAATTTATTTTGATACATTTTTGCAGCAACTTTGAACACCACTATTAAAAAAATAAAAAGCTTCATCTTTCAGTGAGTTCTATCCAAGAATATAATTGAACAGATATCCTTTTTTTGCCTGTAGTGAAAAGAATCCTAAGCTCTACCCATCAAATCATTCAAATGAGCATCACCATCCTGGTTAATACGTTGAATATTAGATAGGAATTTTTTATCAAACTTTATCAATTTTGTATCTGTTGGAGAAAATCTAAGATTAACCAGTTTGAAATCTGCTAAAACTTCTGCCAACTCTTTGAGGTAACCTTTATAAATTGATTCCTTGTAAGGCGAGTCTTGAATTAAGTTTCCATTCTTGGTTATATCCCAATATTCAACTGCAATTTTCTCCAAAATGTTGTACCTTGAGGTAAGAAATACCAATTGAATTATTTCTGTAATGTGATCTTGTGCTTTCCACAATGGCTGATGTGGAAATGAAATTTCATCTATTCTGATAGAGAAATGGATATTATTAATCCAATTACTATCCTTTTTCAAAGGTTTCAAATCAGTTAAAACAAAATAAATTATTACTCACAATTCTTTTATAATCCCCGGACATAGCTCCCTTTCAATGAATCCCAGAAGATAGAAAACTAAGACACAGACAGCACTTTGTCTCTCAGTCAAATGATACTTGAATTCAAATGAAATTCCCGAGTGTGAAAAAATTTGATGAATCAGTTTTTTAGTTGTGTCTATGAAGCCCTTTCTATCATTCAAAACTTGATTCCCAAGTTGGGCACTTTCTTTTTCATATGAAACTGAGCCATGTGATCCATGGATGTATCTGTAGGTGTTGAAGTAATCTTGACTTGAAAACATGTTGCAAATTCTTTGGAATGAATCCTTGGATTTAGCATCACGTTTAGTCAAATCTATAACTTTACCCTTTATTTCTTCTGCAATAGAAACAAATTCAATGACCCTCTTTTGCCCTTTTGATCTAAGATCTAATCAATTCATTGTAAATTTATGTCAAACAATGTATAGAATTATCCAGAATAAAAGAATAGATATGACAAAGATCAGCCCAAAATTACCTGCAAAAGGGTTTTTGTCAGAAGTCCAATGCCAATGCTTGGTCAATGCTAGAAAATTTTTATCCATATTTGCTCCACTCTGAATTTGGAACAGATTGGAGGTGTAGTAGATCACTTCTCTGAACATATTGTACTCTTGAAAGATGTTTCTGTACTGTTCCTGAGTAATAAATTGATTCTGAAGGGAAAATTCAATAGTATCAAAAACATATTGCCATGCTGTTAGAGTGCTGGATGATCTCTTCTTTAATTCAGGGTCTTCAAATTGGAGGTAATATTCAGTAATCAGTTTTGAGAGTTTTTTCAGAGATAATTCTGCAAATCCTTGCAATGCCTTGTTGAAGATTGTCAAGGACAGGTCATCGGGAAAGTCTTTGAGCTTCATCACAAGTGATTTATCTGCATCTGAAACCAAGAATGGAATCAATTTATTGCTTGAGGCTTTTGGATCAAGGTCTGAAAGTTTTAAAAATCTGAATCCTTTCAACATTGAAATGTCTCTTTGAGATTCTTCAACTAATTCTATTGCCATTCTTGCATGATCTGTGTTTTTTCCATTCTTTTTCAGCCACCGCAACTGTCTCTTCAACTCTTTCTGCTGTTTTGTAAGCTTATCTGAACTTTTGGCAAACAATTTCATCTCCCCTAAAACATCCATATCTCAGTTCATACTGCTGAGCTGATGATACTATAGCAGGAAAAGAAAAAATACCTTGACGCATGCCCCAATGTTTCCAAAAGTGTGATTCTGAAGAGAAAAGAATCATGAACAACATGATTTTCACAAATAAATAAAAAATGAAAAAAGAAGATTAATAGACTTACTTCTTGCAGAAGCTGAATACCCTGCTTGAGGGTTCTCTAGCATTGCCTTGTTCAACCAATGTTTTTGCTTAACAGGGTTGAGATTTAATTTTGAGACAAGCCTCATGGAAGAGTTTTTTATGGCAGTCCATTTCTGTTTCTTGCTCTCCAAAGGCTCATCAAGGGCTTTGGGTATGATCAGTGAGTTATTTAGGGAATATGTGTTCAAAAATAATCAGCAATGTGCAGGGTGAGGGATTGTTAAAGTGAACAATCAATTCATACCACAAAGTCGGGATGAACAAGCAGGGCTTCTTCCTGCTTCACCTGTGCGGATTGCTGCAATTGGAGGCTCAATAATTTTGCTACAGCCAGCTGACATCGCAATGAACCACAGTCTAAGAAGAAGAGTTTGGAGTAGCATAGGTGGAACAATTTAGGAACTTGAAGTTTATGGAGATGAATAAGTAGTACTGGACTATCTTGTGTCACCATGCTCTATATCCTTTAAGATAGAGATGGCTTTATAGCCAGCAAAAATCCAATCATTGACTCCCAGTAAAACTTATAAAACACTGCAAGACCAAAAAAATGTTTCAATGCTACACAGTCTTGGTCAGACTGGTGTGGCAGTCTGTAAGTGGATAGCTGTACTCTTTTACAGCGGGGTCCAACTGATTCAAGATCAAGATGGTTTTATATCCTGAAAAAAGCCAATCACTGACCCCAGTAAAACTTAGAAAACCCTGCAAGACCAAAAAACATGTGAAAATGCTATGTGAGCTTGGCCAGACTGGTGTACAGTTGCATATTGCATAAACCTACCTTGCCTCTTCCGCAAAAAAGGCCAACTTTGAGCCCTATGTTTGAATGTAATAGGCATCCTACTCACACATACTGTACATGGTTGAATTCTACATCAGATGGAAAACGTGGAGAACACAAAATTGTGTAGGACATCCAATAACAATGTATCTAGAAGTTTTAAAATATTTTTTGGGACTTTCTACATGCTTGTACTACATAATTTTGTGCTTTACATTGAATTTAGCATCCAAAAACAAAAGGTTTGTGAGTGTAGCACCATTGTTACACTCAACCATCAGGCTCAAAGTTGTCCTTGTTTACAGGAGTTTTGGCAATTGGATCCTTTGGTCCCAAACCGAAGATAATGGTGTCATTATCATCGGTTTGAAACCAAAAAACAAGCAGAGCTGGGTGAGCTGGGTGAGCTGGGTACATGAGCTGGGTGAGCTGGGTAAAACCCGGTTTTGCCAATTTTTTTTATAAAAAAAACAGCCCTAACTGACCTAAACCCTAAACCTAAACCCTAAACCCTAAACCTAAACCCTAAACCCTAAACCTAAACCCTAAACCTAAACCTTCAACCCTAAACCTAAACCCTAAACCCTAAACCTAACCCAAGCCCTAATCCCTAAACCTAACCCTAAACCTAACCCTAAACCTAAACCTAAACCTAAACCTAAACCTAGCCTAAACCTAAACCTAACCCTAAACCTAACCCTAAACCGAACCTTAAACCTAAACCTAGCCTAAACCTAACCCTAAACCTAAACCTAACCCTAAACCCCCCTTGAAGCAGGGGCCATTGGATTCCCAACAACTCCGCCAGGTCCCCAATGGCCCCACAATACCCAGGCAGATGAACTACTACGCTCGAACCTGTCCAGGTACTGTGCCTCTCCTGGGTTAAACCTAACCCTAACCCCAAAAACCTGCCCCCTAACCCCCATCAGGGGATGGGGCCAGTGGGAATCAAACCCACGACCTGCTGGATGGTCAGATGTTAGGGCCAGTGCAAACCGCTGAGCTACAGAGACTGCA